TGTACTTAAGTCTGTCTTAAGTCTGTCTCCCTTGTTCACTGTTGCATTGTCTGTGTTCCTTCCCTCAAGTCAGTTAAGTGTTTCCTCAAGATTTTGTGCAGGTCATGTTCATTCATAGTTTATTCATATACCTGCACAAAATCTTGTTCATAGTCATCACAGTTATTTTCCCATAGTCGTTTTCCTCATATAGGTTTTTTAATATTTCCCAGTTTAGGTTCCAGTTTAGTTTTGCTGCTGTTGTATTTTGCTTTATTTTTGTAATTCATGTTAATCAGCCTGAATAAACAGCTCACCTTCTGTTTGAAACCCAGTTCTGTGTCCCTCTGTGTCTGCTCCTGGGTCCGTTACATTCACACACTAGCGCACCCCGCACTGACAATGATGATGTGTTTATAAAGGAGCAAAACTCTGCATAGACCTCCCACAACAGGAGCTAATTGTTTTTCACTGAGTTTTATTGGGCCTTTTCCCCTCAAACAAATGCTTCCAAAAGAAGTAATACTGTTAAATTTAGCCAGATCTAATAGGACCTGTAGGGTATCCCAGGGTGTTTTGTATAATTTCATTGTGTCATATTTGCTAAAAAGCAACTACCTACAGCAGCTCAAACAGCTCATTCAGCAACAATAACTGTGTCTTCAGTCCTAACCAGAGTTGACAAAGTATAGTATCTGCTAATAACGTCACTTCAGTGCTTTGCCAAGATCCTGTCTGATCCAGTCTGTCTGTCTGATTTAGTCATTCACTGGATGTGATGTGAGAGATTGTAAAATTCAGTCTCTGAGAATTATGTTTCCTGCTTCTGTGAAACATCTGACAAAGAAGGAAATCATCGCTTGTACCTACTCAAACAATTAAACATGATTTTAATGTAACTCAGTTACTCAAAGTTACAGTGAATGATTTTCAGCTTGCTCATGTTTCCAGACTGTAATCAAGTGTGCATTTTACAGTGTCAAATTACCATTTGTATTTACCTTTGATATTAATATAACTAACAGATATTTTCCCATTGCGTAAAGTAAAACTTTAAATGTAGACTCAAAGGTCCTTTTTCATGTTAAGAAAAAAAAAACAATACATCATTTACTGGATGAGGTTTTTGCACACTTGCTATTCTGTCTTCAATCACTGTGCTTTGTTGGGCACAGAAGTAAACAGCTGAATCTTCCTCTGTCAGGCTGTTGATTTCAAGGTACTGTCTGCTGCTGGAGTCTTCTTCAGTTACGATGAAACGATCTTGAAAAGAACTGCCATAGATAGCAGAGTTTGAGCCTGTGTCCATTCTGCCAATCCACTCTTCCAGGTTTCTCTTGTATCCAGTGCAAATAATGGCTTGTCAGGCTATAACCAGACAGCATACATGATATCTTTACCCTCTCTCCAGGTATTTCACCTCATCATCTCAGTAAGTTATTTTTCAGTAATGTGTTTCATATGAGAAGGAGTCGAATTTAAACATTAGCTCTCTTCAGTTCAAAGGATAGTAAAAAACCCAGAAGTGACACAATTTACTACAGAGTCCAGAATCACTCATCAAGTTTGTTCTTCTGTGTTTTAAAGAAAACATAATTTGCTAATTTAAAGCTGTTTATAGTCAGAGATTGTTTTTCTGGTTAAAAAAAGAAAAATAACTGCAAGAGTTCTGTGATCAATAAAATGAAAATTGTAATAATGGAGCAAAAGTTTGCATAGATCTCCCTCTACAAGAGAAATTTGGTATTCAAAAACTCAGTTATACAGCTTCTAAGTATTTTATCATCATCATATTATATCATTATCATATATCGTATCGTATTATTATATCAGGAGTATCTTTGCCATAGTACTTAAGCTTATAAACACCATGAGAATCTCATTCTCACCTGACCCGATTATTTACAGAGGGATGGTTTGTGAATGCTGCAGGATTGATGCGATGCTGATCTACATTTCTCATTGCTCTGCATGTAGTGCCGGAGGAATCAGCAGTATATTTTTGATGATATATTTCTCATGTACTGTGGATAACTATTATCCAGAGGTAGACCTTAAAGTGCAAAATGGATAAAATATGTGTTTTACTTTATTGGGAGGGAAAAATATTCTATAAAGTGAATTTAAAATTTTATGTGAGTATCTAATGAAACCATCAGGATTTTGTACAGCTGCTTAGCAACTTCTGTCACTGTGGATCTCGAGCACAATAATAAACAGCAGAATCTTCAGTCTTCAGGCTGTTCATCTGCAGATACAGCTGCTGTCTGCTATTGTCTCTGGAGACAGTAAACCTGCCTCGGACTGACTGAGAGTAGTAGTTGGTGGCACTGTTAGTATCAGCAGCAATCCATTCCAGTCCTTTTCCAGGAGCCTGTCTGATCCAGTGAATCCAGTGGTTGCTGAGTGTGAATCCAGAGGTTGTACAGGTCAATCTGTGAGACTGACCAGGTTGTTTAACTGCTGGTTCAGATTCTGTCAGAGTCTGACCATTAACACCTGCCCCAGTAAAGAGAAAATTAATAACAAACGCACAACTTAAATAGCATGGACCAATATATATTTTTAGATTATCATCAACAAAGCTTTTCACCTGCCAAGCAAAGAATTAAAAACAGCAGTCCTGTCCTACAGTCCATCATGTCAGGCTGTGAGTCCACTGTTCTCTGTCATCATCTCTACAGTCACACATAAAGAGATAGAAGCTGTCAGTGCTTTGCATTGACTCCGCCTCCTAATGAAGGGCAGCTTTTCCCTGATGAAATAAAGACGAGAATCAGAACAACCTAAACCTATTCACCTTAACAAGAAAGAAGAAATAACATTTAGTGCCAGATTTACTAATGGTCGGTGGCAACAATAAGCCTTCTCTAACACTAAAAAGCTTCTGGGTTTACTAAAAAAATGTGGTGTATGTTTTGTGACTAAAAAAAATCTGGACAGGTAATTTTTGCAGATGGCCTTTTTGTATTTGTATCTGCAAGAGTTTCCCCTTCAGGAGAAGAACAGAATATGTTTAAGCGTTAAATATTTAATTTACTATTACTACACACAATTTATTGCAAATTGTGCTAAATCCAGCACTGAAAAACACATATCTTATACACATAGTTAGGATAGCTGCTTCCAGAAGTATTTATGTAGAATGAGAGGGTGAAATGAATGAATGTTTAATTGACACATTCATTGTGACATTCTGCATAGATGTTAGTGCAAGGCCAAAATTTTGGTTTTGTCGTAAAGCTCTTTACACAGTTTGTTCATGATCTAACAGTAAATAATGTTGTGTGTCCTTCTACACATCATACTGGTCAGCTGTTACCAAAGGATTTCAGTTATATGTGGTGAAATAGTTTATAATAACCAAGTTTGTCATGGCTGAGTGAAGGACCCAAGATGCATGCACTGACTGTGATGCGAATGAGCTTTATTTGTAAGGGGAGGATAAAAACAGAAACTAAGGAAAACCTAAACTGGGAAAACTAAGAAACAAGGAACCAACAAACCTGAAAAGCGAGGGGACTTAGAGAAGGGTAATGCGGGGGATGACAAGCAGAAAGGAAAGCATGAAGGTAACACAGACGGACCAGTAACAAGCAGAAGAGAACGCAGGGCTTAAATACACACTGGAGCACACACTCCACACAAAACAGGCACTATCAAAGTAGAACAGCAAATACAACTAGCACGCACGGACACTAGCTTAACACTAAGACATCAGACATGGCAACAGGTAGGGAACACAGAGATATGGAACCAGGGCAGGCACAGAGACACAGAACAGAACAGAGCTCAAAAAATACAAAACAGGAACTAACCCCTAAGAAGAAGAAAATATTACCAAGAATTAACCTGAAACACAAGATAATAATAATCAAAACCAAAACGACTGAGGCACAAACTCAGGACCATGACAAAGTTCTTCTCTGGATAACTCCTGCACTCCACCTGAGTCTTAAAATGAGTTAATACTAACGTGTGAATCCAGAAAATAAAACATTTAACAGCATGATGTAACTATCAGTGATGATGAAGCTGTATGTTATATTGTTTAACCATTTTAATTATTAATTGGTGAAGGTAAATAGAGAAAGTATTTTTTGTATTTTAATTACAGTCTCTCACTTTCTTATTTGACACAATAATAAGCTCCAGTGTCCTCAGTCAACTATTCATTTGTATCCATACTTTGCTGCTGGAATCATCTCTGGAGACGGTGAATCTACCCTGAACTGACTGGCAGTATTAAGTAGGATAAGCTGCTGCTGAAGGCGAATCCAGAGGCTGTACAGATCAATCTGTGGGACTCTCCAGGCCTTTTAATGATTTCATATTCTGTTTAACCATCACTTTCTGCTTAAAATGTTTTTTTAAACCCCATGAATTAAGTCAGGTCAGAAACAAAAACAATTTATATCAAAACTAGTAAGAGAAAATCTTCACCTGTCCAGTAGAAAGATAAAACCAGCAGACTCTTTAGTCCATAGTGTTAGTTTTTGGTTTTTGCTGTCCTTTGAGCTGAACAGAGCTATTGTTTAAATTAGACTCCTCCTCATATGAAACACATTACTGAAAAAAACTGACTTATATAAAATATAAACTTTATGTATTACTGCAGTCAAATTGTGACTGGTCATAACAGGAAGGACATCATGAAGTCATATTGCCTTTAAAGTAAATGAAAGGTATTATTAGTCATAGTGTATAATGTATATTCTTTACCACAACAGGTTGTGGTAGATGGCTCGTGAGCTTGGGTCTGCCTGGACGTGTCTTCATATTAAAAGGAACTTTTAAAATACTTCAGTCCTTTTCTGAGATCCTGTTTGATTCAGTGTCTGATGTGGTCATTCACTCGAATATGATGAGAGAATGTAAAAGTTGATATGTGTGACTGCTGGAGGAGAGTCTTGATCATAGATCTGTTAGGGAAAAAACACAGACCTTTCATCTTAAAATTCTCAGTACTGGTAAAATAACTAATTGCAATAACGAAGTTGATAACTGAATTAATTTCTATGGATAACTGTCATGTTCTAGTAAAATCAGGTATGGATCCAAAATAGTCATTTTGCTTGTGCAGAGCTCATCAAAGTCGCGTGGCTAGTTGAGGTTTTTGCACAGCTGCTCTTCTATTTTCAGTCACTGTGGAGTCGAGCACAGAAGTAAACAGCAGAATCTTCAGCTGTCAGACTCTTGATCTCGAGGTACTGAGTGCTGCTCGGAACATCTTGAGTAAAGGTGAATCGGTTTTGAAAGGCACTGGCGTAGCTAGCAACAGTCGTATCTGTGTTTATCCACCCCATCCACTCCAAAGCTTTCCCAGGTTTCTGTCGTATCCAGTTAATGCTGTAACTTGTCATTGTATAACCAGATGTGACACATGAAATCTTCACAGTCTCTCCAGGTCTTTTGTCCTCAGAGGGAGGCTGGTCCAGTCTGATATCACACCAAACACCTGTAATTAAGATTAAAGAAATGAAAATAATCATGTTATCACAAAAATGGTCTTTGTAGCTCTAAATTTCTTACCATGAATAGTCAGAACAAATAATAAACCCCAGATTATTATATTTTTCATTCCCTTCATTGTGAACACTGCTGCGTCTGATGCTCTTTCAGAGCTTTCTTTCTCTGTCAGATGACATGACTGTTACTGACGGTGTGTTTATAAAGAAGAAAGACTTTGCATAGAACTCCCTCTGCAGGTTTGAACTGGAATATGAAAAAAATATGGTTTAACATCTGCTGCTGGTACAATATTTTTTTAGAGAGAAAGAAATGTAGATAGAATACTGTAGTGGACCAATGTAAACTGTGCACTTGGGGACAGACTTTGCTGGAGACTTCTGAAAAAAACTCACCAGAGACCAAAGGATTCACAAAAAATACATAAATCATCATATATTTGTTAAGGGAAGGCCCCATGACTGAAAGGGGCCCTAGGAAATGGTAGAAGAGTCATTTAGTCTTTTTTCTTTTCAACCACTCATCATAAAAAAAACAAAACGTTTGCTTCACAAATTCCGTATCAATGTTTTGTAAGTGTTAGTTTTGTTTATGGTCAGCCTCTGTCTGTCACCCCCCACCCCTCAAGATATGGTTTGGCTCCAGGTTAAATTATAGTTAAATTTTTACCGCCATAGGTAGCAGAGTTTCTTCTTGTGTTCATCCACCCAATCCACTCCAGAGCTCCCCCTGGGCTCTGTCGTATCCAGCCAACATTGTAACCTGTCAGTCTATAACAAGATAGGATACATGACATCTTCACTCTTTCTCCAGGTCTTTTCACCTCTGAGGGATTCTGCTCCAGTTTGATCTCACTCCAAACTTCAGTGAGAAAAAAAGCATGTGATCATGAATAAAAAGAATAGAATAATGAATAAAGCATTCCTGTGAAATTACACAATAAAGAATATAACGCATATAACCAAGAAAACTAAAATTAAAATATTTGTATGAAAAAAAAATCCAAGATGTTCTGGAAGAAATTAAATAAGAATTGAATGCAATGGTTTTATAAAGGACCACAACCTACTAAAGACTTCCGTCTGGAGCCTTTTGGTATGCAAAACTCACTTGAACAACTTATTCTCTATTCTTTATTTTTTTATAAAAGCATATGATGTAATGAACTTGAACTCTCCCCATCGTAATTCAAAAGACTCTTCTCAAAAGAAGTAAAGATTTTCTCATTTCATTTCATCAGAGTCGCTGTGCTTTTGTCTTTCACAGATGTAAACAGCAGAATCTTCTGCTGTCAGGCTCCTGATTTCAAGGTACTGTCTGCTGCTGGACTCTTCTTCAGTCATGATGAAACGACTTTGAAAAGAACTGGAATAGTCAGCAGAGTTTGAGCCTGTGTCCATCCTACCAATCCACTCCAGAGCTCTGCCCGGCCTCTGTCGTATACAGTGCAAATAATAGCTTGTCAGGTCATAACCAGATATGATACATGACATCTTCACTCTCTCTCCGGGTCTTTTCACCTCAGAGGGAGACTGCTCTAGTTTGATCTCACTCCAAACTCCTGCAAGAAGAAAAAAAAGAGTTTTAAATATGTAATGCCATTTCTTGGAGAAACTCTTGAATATCACATTTTTATGGGCCTCATCTCCCTAAATTATTTACTGAACTGGGGACATTTGTTGCTAGTCAGACTTTTTTTTAAAGTATCGAGGAGGTAATGTAACAAATATATGTGCAGACTGTCAGTAAAGGTTCGTCAGTTTTCATGTCATTTATTTATTTACATTGGGAGTAAAGTTGTTCTGTTTTATTGAAGGTGAGGAGGCAATAAAATAAAGAAACTAAAGGATTTTGTACAGCTGTTACATCATCAACACCTGTCAGAACAAGTTACATGCAGACAATTGATTAGTTGTTGGAGACAAGTTTGACTTAACAATAGTGAAATGACTCACCTGCCCATAAAATCATCAAAAGTAGGAGCCCTATTCTTAGATCCATCACTCTAAACTGTGTGACCACTGCCGTTTGAAATCTGTCAACTTCTGCAGGACAAGCAGGTTTAAGACATCCAAGTTTTGCATTGACTCCTCCTCACAGACATTTTTGTTTATTTGTTTTTGTTTTTTTGAGCATCTTGTATTACAAACACAAAAGTTAAAGTAGCTCACATGAACAGGCTGCATAAAACAGTTTACCTCTTATAGTGTATTTTACGATATACTTACTCATTCTAATCATTTAAGCATAGTGTAATAATATTGTCTATGTCAGAATATTCTTTAATATCACTATACTGAGATGCTATTATATTATGGTTTATCTCAGCAAAATAAATTAAAAATTGAAATATTAATGAAAGAAAGAATATAAAAATCTTACTAAAAACCATAGTCACAGTAAGGAAATCCCACTTTTTTAAGGATGAAAGTGTTGTGAAAGCTTTCATAGTAAGGCAGTTTTAGTGAGGGTGTGTATAGTCCCTTATAGTCTTGGAAGTCAAAGTTTGAGAGAGGCATCTGACGAAGGCAACAGCTCTATGAAGGAAGCTGTTTTCCTTAATCTATAAGTGCTGGCTTATTTCATCCAGAATCATCTGCCAGACAGCTGTGGTTTGGACAGAGAGAGATCAGGATGCATAGGGTCCTTATCAGGTGGCTGGCATGTAAGTTTGAGAGCTAGATGCCTATCATCCACTGTGGTGCCTTCACCAGGTTCTTCATCAGAAGTGGTAGCCTGTCACAAGGTCCAAAGGAGGTTAAGTGTAATTTTCCTTTATCATATTCACTCTACTCAAAGGGAGGACATCATGAAGTTTTATTGGGGTTTGGACAGAAACTGTTCTGAGCTTGTACAGCAACTCAAACAGCTAATTCAACAGCCATCACTGTGAATTTTCAGTCCAGTCCTGAACTGACAAAGTATATTATGTGATGGAAATTTAGTTATAATACTCTACAGTCCTTTTTCAAAATCCTGTCCAATTCATTGTACTTCTAGACTCCCAAATGAAATTCAATTCCAGACCTAAAAAGTTTTCTTTAATAACTGTGAGTAATGGGTGTTTTCACATCATTTTACTGTAAAATTACATATTGAGGCATCACAGTTCCTGTGTACGGGCAGGAAAAATGTATGGAGAGAAAGTGTTAGAAATCCATATAAGATGATCCATAAGAATAAATTAGGATTTAAACTGGACCAAGGCCAGGAAGATCGTGAAGGACCTCAGCCATCCCAACAACAGACTGTTCTCTCTGCTGAGGTCAGGAAAGCGATTCCGCTCCCTGAAGACCAACACAGAGAGACTGAGGAGGAGCTTCTTCCCGCAGGCGATACGGTCTCTCAATCACACCACCACACAGTACTGACCCACACATATGGTTCTTACACACACACTGGACATTCTGGACATTGTTTTCACTTCATCACTTAAATCACTTTAAGCATATTTGCACTGCACAAGACATAATGTGGATTGCACAACACTGGACATTATATTCTTCATTTCCAGTTAATACTTGTACAGCTGCTGTTATTGTGTATATATTTATTTATATTTCTTCATACATTCTTATATAGTTCTATATTGTGTATTTTGTTGTACAGTTATTTTATTTTCAACTTTAATTTATATATTTTATCTTATTCTTCCCAGTTAAATTTACCCTTCATTCTAATTTGTGTTGTACAGTTATTTCATTTTTAACCTTAATTTATATTTTATTCCTTCCTAGTTAAATTTACCCTTTTTAATTTTTCATATTTATTTCCTATCTTATTCATAGCCTTTCCTTTTTTGTTTTCTTTAGGTCACGAGCAGTTGTCCAAGCATTTCACTACATATCGTACTGTGTATGACTGTGTACGTGACAAATAAAATTTGAATTTGAATTTGATTTACAAATGTGTACTCACTGTACAAATGTGTTTTCTAAATACAAATACAAATCAATTTGACCACAGGTTAAACTATTGAACAATTTGTTTATATCCAAACCTGAATAAATAGTCACCATTGATGCAAAATTTCAAATTTAACATTAGAAATTTGATAATTTCAAAAAGCTTTATGAGCTTACTACTTACAAAAAATATTTATGGCATTGTGTTCCTGCTATTAATCTGATAATCTGTAGAAAAGTCATAAAGAGTTTTCTTAACATAATTGAATAAATAAATCTTAGCATTGTCAGTCCCCTTTCCACTCTGTGCCTTGTGTGACTGGGATTCACTTCATAAATATGAATCTGTTCTCAAGAAATAATATTTTCAAGTTACATTTTATACTGAAAAAGCAGAATGGAATTCACTTAAAAAAAACATAAATGTGCACAAATCTGTACCCAAGCTTGGCATACAAACATTTCACACACATATGTGTAATTCTTAAATGTGTGGATGGGTTAAGTTAATTGGAAATTCTAAATTAGCCTTATGACTGATAGCGACTTCTTCAGGTTGTATCCCACCTTGTGACAGCAGGTAAAGTCAGCCTGGGACCCTCAGTTCAATAAGCAGTTAAGACTAATAGATGCTCCATGTTATCTAAGTGAGGTAGGAAAAATGCCAGCATTGAGTGTGACCAGAAAGTGCAGCAGTGTGTAGCGTACTTCTGAGCTGACTTGCACATAGATTAAAGAGATATATCCCTACAACCTGCTGTGCTGCTTTCACCAGATCTTTCATGTGCGGTTGTAGTCAGTTTGGCACACATTGACTCAATAGTTCCCAATGATCTCAATGGTGTTTGTTTGTTTGCTTTCCTGACTTTGTTAATATTTTGTTTGCATGTAGCAATGTGAAAGCTTTTTACTAGTAATAGAGATACAGCGAATGTAGCTTTTCTTGAAGCTGAGGACTCACAAATGGCCCGCGACCTGAGGTTTATAAATTTCATTGCTTTGAACTTGCTGTGATTGTTCAAATAGTAAGATCATTTTGGTGTTCAGCATTATAAGATATGAAAACACACACATAATAAAAATATGTATATTTTTCACATACATATTATTTTTATAATATACTTTTTTTTTTTGAAAACTCAGACCTTGAATATTTAGATGAAACTTGGATATACCAGACGAAGGTTTGTACACACTTTCTCATTTATTGCTTTTTCTTTATTTTCATGACTACTTATTTACATTGTA